AGCCTTTACATGTCACAGTTACCTTCGATTACATGAAAGGACTCATACCGGAGAGAAACCCTATGAATGTAAGCAGTGTGGGAAAGCCTTCAGATGTCAAACTTCCTATCATAGACATAAAATTATTCATGGTGGAGAAACATTCTATGAATGTAAACAATGTAGTAGGCTCTTCATTTACCCCTCTTTACTTCAAATGCATGAAAGAACTCACACTAGTGAAAGACCGTATAAATGTAAACAGTGTGGTAAATCATTCCTTTACCCCTCTTTACTTCAAATGCATGAAAGAACTCACACTGGTGAAAAGCCCTACGAATGTAAGCAGTGTGGTACAGCGTTTAGACACCACTCTTCCCTTCGACTGCATGAAAGAACTCATACAGGAGAAAAGCCCTATGAGTGTCAACAGTGTGGGAAAGCCTTTACACGTCACACTTCCCTTCGATTACATGAAATAACTCATACTGGAGAGAAACCTTATAAATGTAAAGAATGTGGTAAAGCCTTTAGACATCACTCTTCCCTTCGATTGCACGGAAGAATCCATAGTGGAGAGAAACCCTATGAATGCAAACAATGTGACAAGGCCTTTATACGATACAGTTACCTCCGACTACATGAAAGAACACACACAGGAGAAAAACCTTATGAATGCAAACAGTGTGGGAAAGCCTTCAGCCGGCACAGCTCCTTTCAGAGACATAAATCTATTCATGCTGTAGAAAACCCCTATGAGTGTCAGCAGTATCTAATTCCTTTATCCCTGTTTCCTCCAAATACATCAGACAACTCATACTGGTGAAAAGCACTATGATTGTGAACAGTGTGTTAAAGTGTTTACCCTTATCCACACATGTAAGAACTGAGACGTCATGTGATAAGCCTTATCCACATAAATGATATGGTTTAGACTTCGAATGCACGAAGAAATTCATGCTGGGCACAGTTTCTACAAATGTAAGCAATGTGTAGTAAGTCTTTTGCTGGCCACTCTTCTTTCACAGAAATAATTCATGCTGTGGAAATGCCTTATGAATGGAAACAATATGCTCAGTCTTTTATCCCTTTTTGCTTCAAACACATGAAAGAACTTACAGCAAAACGCTGTGAATGTCAGCAGTGTGCTGGAGACTTCAGGAGATGCAGGTCCCTTTGGTAACATGAAAGACATCTTACTGGAGGAAAAACCCCATGATATTTAGATGTCATTGCTCCCATAGATTCCGTGAGTGAACTACTGGAAACAGTTCTGTGAGTGGAAACAAAGCTGTGACACCTTCAAGCTCACAGTTCCTTTCAAAGATGTATAATGATTGATGGTGGGACAAAGCCTTATACATGTAAAGAGTATGGTAAGTTTTTGGTTGCTGGGAGATGGACAGGCATTTTTGTTGGTAGTGTGGCTGCTTGTAAGTTGCCTGGGCTCAGTAAGCCCCATTAAATTTAGTGGTTCCCCAGGCTGCACTTGGGTGGAATCATTTCTTTGCTTCTACCCTCGGTGCCCTATCTGGGATGAATAGACACTTATTCAACATGTGGCCAGAAAATGTTCACATAATGGCGCCCAGGTGTGGGGCACAGTGGAACCAAAGATGAGTTTGAGAGAAGCACTTGCCTTGTCTCTGCTGTGGGTGATGAGACATGCCACTGAAGGGAAGCTTTCTGTGGGTGGACATCTGCGGTGTTAATTCTGAAACGGCTGTCCTTTCCATTGTGTCAGGGAACAGTGTGCCTTCTTGTTGCAGTACCAGTTGTACTGTCTGTACTGCACAACTCCTCTGTAGGATGGAGTGGTCCACTTCTGTGACAGTGAGGTTTGCCACACGGAACCTCCCAGCCCCCCATACAGCTGTCAGGTGAAAGAGTGTATTACAGTTCCTGTAAGTAGTACAGATGGAACAGGGTTAAGTAGGCATCAGGTGCATGACCCTTTCTTTGGGTAATAAGACATGCAAATAAGGCTTAGCTGTCTACTAACATGAACCTGCCCCTCTAATGGAGGAATTACTTTGAGGAAAAGATGTGCAGATGCTGTCCACTGTATTGGCCTCTAAATTGGCAGGAAAACTAAGGAAGGAATGTGGGATGGAGCGTGGGAATTAACGAGCTGCAGCTGTTGGCTTCCAGTTTCTTACAGCTGGTGATGGCATAAGGGAAACAAATTAAAAGTTCTATCTGCTAAGTAGTCCCTCTGGGGTCCTAAAACTTGAAGCCTACGTAAAGTCTTGAACAGTGAGGATGCTTTATTCAAAGGGAGTGAAGTAGGAGTGATAATGTTCCCCTTATGTGAATGGAGGCCTAAATAGTAGACCAGTAGACCAGTAAAGGATTTTGTGCTAATCAGTAAATATTCTGTCTTTGGAAGGCTGTAAAGCTTGAGGAAAAGAATATCAGTGAAGGAAGACATGATGAAGTGGTGCAGCTGAAAGTCTCAGCTTTCCTTAGAGTCATTTCCCCAGAATAAGTTGTGTGCTCTCCTGCAGGAAAGGATGCTTGTGTGTAACTTGTTTGTTCAGCCCAGGGACCTCTCAGCAGCCAGGGACGTCTACTGAAGAGGCAGCAGTGTGCTACAGCTTGGGCCCAGAGGCTGTCAGACCCAGGGAGTCCATGGGGATACAGCAGGTGAGCATGTCTGGGTTTCCCCTTGGCCCCCTACACCAATTTGAGAACAAGAGCCAGCTCCTTCTCCACCAAGGCTGCACTCAGGATAAGGGTGCAGATGGCTCATGAAGAATGAGTAGATGGTTCAGGGTAGGGTACAACCTCCTATCTACACCACTGTATCCAATATTGGTTTTGATTTGCTTTTGTTTTCTTGAGGCAAGTTCTTAGGCAGCCCAGGCCGGTCTCAAATTTACTGTATAGCCGAGGATGATCTTAGAAGTCCTGATGTCCTACCTGCTCTTTCTGAGTACTGGGGTCGCATGCATGAGTCACCCCATCTGGCTTCCTGTGCTTCGAAACAAACCCAGGCTTCATGCATGTATTCTCAGCTGTGCTATTCTCAGGTCAACATTGAGGAAACACTTAGTACAAATGACTGAATCTTCATGCTATTGGATCTTCTTAACGTTTTATTTATTGCCCTCTTAGCTCTTGACTCCTGAGTCCAGCTGGCACTTGTTTGAGATGGTGGCTTGTGGGCCTTCAGTGATCCTGAGACCCCTGTGTAAAAAGGTTTCACTTCACGGCTGACATAAAGCTAGCCTGTGAGTGTCCACAGAGCATCCATGTGAGCTGAAAGAGTGAGGATGGGAAGGGAGGTCCACATGTGCACAGGGCAGGCACATGAGATTTATGTGGGGTTTATGGTTGGTAAGACACAGGTGATACAAAACAAGGTGAATGAGGGAAAACCTTTACAGCCAGTGCCTAACATCAGATATTAAAAGAATAGTTGAGGAGCTTGAATGAATGTGCCTGTGTGTGTGTGTGTGTGTGTGTGTGTGTGTGTGTGTGTGTGTGTGAAGATACTTTTAGAACATAGGCTCTTTAGAGAAGATGTGGTGTCAGGGCAGGCTACTTCTCCATGAGGTCTTTGCCACAGACGCCCGGAAGTCCCCAGACACTAATGGCTGTTGCCAATGCTATTAGTTGTCCCTAGAACTAGAGTTAAGACTGTTCCTTAAGACACCATATGCTTTGGCTGCTGATTGTGGAAAAAACAAGCTGACACTGGGCTGGAAGCTTCCTCCTTGCCAGCATTCATGGGGCCTGTAGGTGCAGGCTACTGTGCAGCACTACTTCGCTCTGGACCCTGCATGTTACTAAAATGGCAAGCAAGATGTGCCTACTAGGGCACAGCTGGTGAAGGTGCTTGCTGCCAAGGCTGGCAACTCGAGTTAGATTTCAGAACCCATGTGGTGGAAAGAGGCCCAAATCCTGCAGGTTGTCTTCTGATTTCCTCATTCATGCTATGGCATGCATCTTCCCTGCATAATATAGAAATAAATGTAATAGGCTCTAGGACTGCAATGGCCTGACTTAATGAGAGTGACCAACTGCTTTCTGATTGAATTGAAGGCTTGCTCTGCAGGGGTCAATTCATATCTCTAAGACCCATCCACAACCTATGGCTAGACAGTCATAGGCCTTGGTGGAAACACTGTTGGTGTTTTGCTAAACAGGTATATTTCTGTGAAATGACTGTCTCAAGTTCTGTGTTTATGCCTGTAGACTATTGCTCCAGTTATTTTTGGAAAGAGAAGCTCCTTTTTGCTGTAGGCAGTAGTTACTGATGAGACTTAGCACCCCTTCCCCGGCTTGGCACATTTTAGAAAAGGGGGCACCAGAGGAAGGAATGGCATGTTTTGGAATGCTGTCCTTTGAGCATGCCATTGCCAGTCTTGAAATTTCAGTACCTGTGATGACCTGCAGGAGGCCTACACCAGATTGAGGCTCTTTGTATTATGCAGAGGGATGGGCATGGAGCCCTGGCACCTTCCATGATGATTTACAGGCAGTTAATATTTACTACAGGGAGGGATCAAGAGACCTTTGCCTCTCCTTGAATATACTTTCTTTGTTTTGATTTTTTGAGACAGGGTTTCTCTATATAGCCCTGGCTGCCCTGGAACTCTCACTATGTAGAGCAAGCCAGCCTTGAACTCAGAGATCTGCCTCCCAAGTGCTGAGATTAAAGGCATGCACCACAATGCCCAGCGTATCCCTGAATATTTTTAGGCAGTTAATGATACTTAGACAGGAGGGTCTCACGAGACCTCCCCCCTCCTCTGGATATAAAAGCAGATAATTGTTGCTGGTAAAGGGAGTAACCCTTTCTTCAGTGAAATACCTACCCATAAGTTCCCATGTTCTTGTCAGTGACCCTTCACCTGTGCGCCTGTATTAACCTAATTAAAATAATTGCTTCATCAAGCTGTGCTTGTGTCGAATCTTTTCCTTGTGTCTGTGTTTGGTACCCTTGTCTGAGGTGACAGACATTCAGACCTCAGAGAAAGTTCACACAGTTGTATTGTGTGATATGCCTTATATTGACACACTGTTCAAGTTTGTTGAGAGCAGACTGGGGGTGGGGGCATACTCCCCCTTTTTTCAGATTCAAACATTTATCTCAAATTTTCTCTACCACTTCTTATCCTGGGGTATGCTGGCCTGCAGCAGGGAGAAGGTTGTTCAGCAGTAGTTGTGGATATTAAAAAACATGGTAAGCCGGGTGGTGGTGGTGGCGGCGGCGGCGGCGGCGGCGGCGGCAGCGGCGGCGCACGCCTTTAATCCCTGCGCTTTGGAGGCATCAGCAGATGGATCTCTGAGTTCCAGGCCAGCCTGGTCTACACAGAGAAACCCTGTCTGTCTTCAAAACAAAACAAAAAAGCATGGTAACATCTTTGTGATCAGATGGAAGGTAAACTGTTTCAAAATCGCAGTGAAAATAAAAAGCCAGATGCTGATGGCCTTAACAGTGCTTCCCAGTGTTTCTGCTGGATTTTGTTTGTGTTTTTACTATTTTAGTTTAATTAAGAAATTTTTTATTCATTTACATACCAATCATAGATCCCCCTCTTCCCTCCTCCCGCCCCTCCAGCCTTCTTCCAACCCACCCCCCACTCCTTCCTACAAGAAGGTAAGGCCTCTCATGGGGAGTCAGCAGAGCCTGGTACATTCAGTTGAGGCAGGTCCAAGCCCCTCCCCCTGCTTCGAGGCTGTGCGAGGTGTCCCACCATAGGTAGTAGGCTCCAAAAAGCCAGCTCATGCACCTGGGACGTATCCTGATTCCACTGTCAGGGGCCCCTTAAGCAGGTCAAGCTACACAACTGTCTCACTTATGCAGAGGGCCATTCCCGTGGAGGCTCCACAGGTGTTGGTCTAAATTTCATTTTTATTATTTTTTTATTTTATACATTTGGGTGTTTTGCCTAGGTCTGTGTACCACATTTGTGTCTGGTGCCCAGGAAGGCCAGAAGAGGGTACTGGATTCCCTGGAACTGGAATTAGAGATGGTTGTGAGCTGCCATGTATGTGCTGGGAATTGAACCCAGAATAGTTCTCTTAAGCTCTGAACCATTTCTCCAGCCCTTGCCCACCCTCACCCCCAGTTTGCTTCTTGACTGTGCTGCTCCAGTCTTCTGGATGTTGTCAGTACCCCATAAAATGTTTTGCTCTTCACCTACCAATTCTACCTACTGCTTGTTGTTTATTGTTGTTTGAGACAGCGTCTCACTATGTTGTGTGGCCCTGGCTGGCATAGAACTCACTATGTGTATCAGCCTAGCCTGAAACTCACAAATATCCACCTGCCTGTGCCTGGCTTTTACTTTATTAAATTTTAATTTTGTGTGGGTGTGTTTGTGTGTATGTGTGTACCACAATGTACAGAGGTCATGTGGGTCCTGGGAACCAAACTCAGGCCATCAAGCTCTGTGCCATTTTACTCTATTGTTTTAATATTGTTGATCTATACTTAATAAATAAATATGCTTAATAAAGTCACTTCTAGAAACTGAGAATGTGGTATTACTTCAAATCCAACTGTACTGAACAGATGTGAGAGTTGGATGAAGGTAAGTAAGGTGACAAACCCTCTGTTTATCCACATCTGTTTCCTGTGTCTGAAAGATCTTGAAATAACTGGTGAAGTGGCAGAGGGTGGTTCTCTTTGAAAGCAAAAAACTGCTAGAGGTAAATGCTTTTTAAATGTGAACACTGAAAAGCTTAGACTTTCTGATTCTCTTTAAATATACAGGAAAACTCATGGGTGAAATTTTTTTTTTGTTTTGTTTTTTTGGTTTTTTTTTCGAGACAGGGTTTCTCTGTGTAGCTTTGCGCCTTTCCTGGGACTCACTTGGTAGCCCAGGCTGGCCTCGAACTCACAGAGATCCACCTGGCTCTGCCTCCCGAGTGCTGGGATTAAAGGCGTGCGCCACCACCGCCCGGCATGGGTGAAATTTTAATGAATACAGATTTAATGAACATCAATGAATATAAAATACTTTGAGAGTTTTTTTTGATAACATGAAAGGACTTACCTTGATGAAGAAAATAATGAAGTTAAAGCCTTAAGTATCCTTTATATTTTTAAAGACAGGATCTCTACTATGTAGCTCTGGCTGTTGTAGAACTTGCTTTGTAAAGTAGGTTGGTATCCAGTTCACAGACATCCTCCTGCCTTTGTGTCCCAAGTGCTGGGATTAAAGGCATGTGCCCGCTGCATGTTTGGATGGTACTTTTAACTACTGTGTAATATTTGGATAAAGTTTGGGCAAAAAACAAACACCCCCTCTCCCCAGGGTTCCTCTATGTATCCCTGACTGTCTTGGAACTCAAAATGGCGGCCAGGCTAGCCTCAAATTCAAAGGCTACTTGCCTCTGCCTCCCAAGTTCTGGGAATAAAGGTGTGCACCACTACTATTTGAACAAAATTGATCAAGCATACATTGGTGCTTTTCAGCCAGTCCTTGTAATTGTTACTGAAAGCAGATCAATAGTTTCATGGATTTCATAACATCAGTGTGCTGAACCTTGACCTTTAAAATTTTAATGTATTATCTCTGTCTCATCTTTTGTATATCTTTTTTAATGATTTATTTTTATTTTATGTGCATTGGTGTTTTGCCTGCATGTCTTTGTGAGTGTCAGATACCTTGGAACTGGACTTACAGACAGTTGTGAGCTGCTATATGGGTACTGGGACTTGTATCCTCTAGGAAGGCAGCCAGTGCTCTTAACTTCTGAGCCAGCTGTCCAGTCCATCTTGTGTATATCGTAAATAATTTATTCAGACCATATCTTGTATAAACCTTGAGAACATTCAGCCATCATAGTCCTCATACACAAATTCTTTACTGAAATGAGTTACATTTTTATATTTTTCTAACATTTTCTTTTGCTTTAATACCATGAGACATAACATTAACAAATTTATCATCTGTTGTGAGAGTTTTCTCCCTTGGTTTGGGGAAGACTAAGTAATGTCTGTCTTATAAGATCCCAGGGAGACACCAAAGTTCTGTTTCACCAAACTTTCGTCCTGAGGGATCAGTGAGTTTATTGGACTTAACTTACAGAGCATGGATGCGGGGGTTGGTGACAGCAGTACGGGTGATTAGTGTGTTGAATTTGTATTTTACCACTTTGCTGAACATGTGTATGAGCTCAGGGTTTTGTGGTGGAGTGTTTAGGGTCTGTCATGAAAGATCCATGTCATTTGTAATAGGGATTTTTAAAAAAAAAATTTTCCTCTTTGTATCCCTTTCATTTCCTTCTCATAGTGCTCTAGTAAAGCGTCAAGCATCCTGTTGAGCAGGAGTGGAGAAATGGACACTGTTGACTTTCTTCTGACTCTGATCTTAGTGGGGATGCTTTGAGTTCTTCTCTATTTGGCATGATTTTTTTTTTTTTTTAGCTTAGATTTCTGTTTACCCAATAACAACCCTTCTGTTTACCTGGCCAGAGTCCTTCTGTGTAGGACATTGTCACCAGCACTGCCATTTGGGGGCCTGCTTTGGACTTAACAAGAAGTACTTGCTCTTGTAAAGAACTTGAGTCCACTCACCAGCACCCACATGGTGGCTCACCATCTTCTGTCTGTAGCCCCAGACATTCCAGGGGATAGATATAACTCCCTTTTCTGACTTGACATGCCCTAGGCATACATGTGGCACATACACATACATACAGGCAAAAATTCACATAAATAAATTGAAAAAAAATTAAGTCCAGATTCTCTTTAAAAATCCAAAGTCTTGCCAGGTGGTGATGGTGGTGTACACCTTTAATCCCAGCACTCGGGAGGCAGAGGCAGGTGGGTCCGGCAGAGGCCAGCCCAGTCTATAGTTCAAGTTCTAGGACAGGCTCCAAAGCTACACAAAGAAACTGTCTCGAAAAACAAACAAACAAAAAAATTGAAAGTCTTGGGCTGGACGAATGGCTCAGCAGTTAAGAGCACTGGCTGCTCTTGCAGAGGACCTGAGTTCAATTCCCAGCACCCACGTGGTAGCTCACAATTGTCTGTAGCTCCAGTTCCAGGGGATCCGACATCTACATAGAGACACATACGTGCAGCCAAAATGTAAATACAAAATTTTAAAAAATCCTGGGTGTGGTGGCTCACACCTTTAATTCCAGTACTTGGGAGGCAAGGCAGGTGAATTTTTTTTTTAAGATTGATTTATTTATCATAATACAGTGTTCTGTTTGCATGTATCCCTGCAGGCCAGAAGAGGGCACCAGATCTCATTACAGATGGCTGTGAACCACCATGTGGGTGCTGGGAATTGAACTCCGGACCTCTGGAAGAGCAGCTAGAGCTCTTAACCTCTGAGCCATCTCTCCAGCCCCCTCTGAGGAGAATCTTAAGACCAGTTTGGTCTACATAGCAAGTTCAAAAAGGAAGAAAAATGGTTTCTAAATGGACTTGGTGGTACAATTCTAGCATATGGTCGAGGCAAGAGAATTGTAAGTTCAGGCCAGCCTAAGCTACATAATAAGAAAGTGTGTATATGTGTGGCCTTGTTAGAGGGGGTGAGTCGTAGGGGGTGGGCTTAGCGGTTTAGTGCCAGTGTTCCCTCTCTACCTCTTGCCTGAAGACTAAGATGTGAACCCTTAGCTACTACTCCATCCCCGCCCCTCCGCCCACATCACACACAGCGCCTGCGCCACGCTCATGGAGTCTAACGCTCTGCTAGGCTGCCTCGGTCATGGTGGTTGTCACAGTAATAGAAACATAACTGAGACTTGATATCAGGAAGTCTACTGCTGCTGTGACAGACCTGACCGCGTTGATCTTTGGAGGAAGGTGGAAGACTGGGACTTCTGAGGAGGAACGTGGCTGGTTGTGTATTGTGAGCAGGGACTAACGGGATGTCCTAACGTGAGCTTGCAAAACAGCAGTGCTGGGAGCGCTACAGACCGGAGGAGGCACGGCTCGAGGGGTTTCAGGAAGGAGCAATGGTGGCAGCTGGGCTAGAGATTATTCTTGGGATTTCTGGCAAAGAATGCGGCTGCTTTCTGCCTTTGTCCTAAGAATTTTCCTGAGACTAAATTTAAAACTAAACATTTTGGGGGTTGGGGATTTAGCTCAGTGGTAGAGTGCTTGCCTAGCAAGTGTAAGACCCTGGGTTCGGTCCTCAGCTCTGGGGAAAAAAAAAAAAAAAAAGAAAAACTAAACATTTTGTTGGTAGAGGAGATTTCAGGACAGCCTAAGACAAACTTTGTTATGTGGTTATTAGATCTGCAGAACTACATGAAAAAGTTTTTTTTTGTTGTTGTTGTTTTTGTTTTGTTGTTGTTTTTCTCTTTGCTTTTTTCAGGACAGCCCTGGCTGTCCTGGAAACTCACACTGTAGAAACAGGCCAGCCTCCAGCCTCAAACTCAAGAGATCCACCTATCTCTACCTCTGCGTCCTGAGTGCTGGAATGTGCCACCATGCCTGGCCCAAAAAAAAGGTAATATTGACTGTTGTGTGGTTATTACTCTTATGCAGATCTACAATGAAAAAGAGCAAGTAGGGAAAAAAGAAAGAAAAACTATATAATTTTAAAAAAAAGAGCACCAGGAAATTTAATTTTTAAGCCAAGGCTTGTGCTGAAGGAGAAATGGAGACCAGGGCTGGGGAGATGCCCCAGTGGTTAAGAACACTGGCTGCTCTTGCAGAGGGCTTATGTTTGTTTCCCACAGTGTGCCAATTCTCAGCCTCTGTCAATCCTGCAGCCTCCATGCTGCCAAAACTAATACCACATGGGAGACTCTTACATATTACCAAAATCAGCACCCACACGGTAGCTCACAACCTTCTGTTACTCCAGTTCCAAGGGAGTAACCACATGTACACAGACATACATACAGGGAAGAAACTCGTATACATAAAAATAAATTCTTAAAAGGGAGAAAAGCCGAGCAGCAGTGGTACACACTTTTAATCCCAGCACTCAGGAGGCAGAGGTAGGTGGATCTCTGTATTATAGGCAAGCCTAGTCTATAGAGCGAGTTCCAGGACAGCCAAGGCTACTCTGTTTAAAAAAATACGAGAGAGACAGGTGGCGGTTGGGTTCAAAGGAAGGCCTGGTCTGTATGGGATAAAGGCCTCATTGTCTTAGTTCTATTGCTGTGAATAGACAGCATGCCCAAGGCAGAAGAAAGCATTTATTCAGGGCTTTGTGTAGTTCAGAGTTAAGAGTCCATGGTCATTGTGACAAGAAGCATGGCGACATTCAGGTATGGTGCTGGAGCAGTAGCTGAGAGCTTGCGTCTCATCTGAAGTGGAGGGAGGGTGGGAGCGTGGGAGCGTGCTGGCCTGGTGTGAGTTTTTGACACACACACACACACACACACACACACACACACACACACACACCTCCTCCAACAAGGCCATACGTAAACAATCCAGCTGGAACCAAACATTCAAGTATATGAGCATATGGGGTCCTGTCTCCCTCAAACTACCCAGGTTCTCTCAGGACAAGACTCCACCCAGCTAAGCATCTAACATGGAAAAAGGAAAAGTGTGAGGCATTTGCTACTTCTAAAAAGCAACAAAGGAAAGCTGCTGCAAACGTGATTCAGTGGTGCCAGGCTACATTCCAAGAATGCAGCAGAACTTGGCCATGTTGACCATTGTCCATGTAGAGTCATGAAGGTAACATTGGTAAAGTGGTTATGAAATCTTCCTCTGTAGTTATAGAGAGCCACTGAGGCCAGGTGTTGTAGTAGGGAAGTCCCTGCATGGAGGCACTGAGAAGCCATTCTGAGAGTGAAAGTGAAGCCTGCGTTTTAGTGGAGATCCCTGAGTCATGAGACATCTGCCAAGGAAAGATAAGGGTAGGGAATGGAGCCAGCCCAAGAGAGAGTGTTTTGGGCAGCCTAGCAGGAAAGGTGGAACCGCTTAAGCCCTGACACTGGACATGGAGCTAAAGGGTTTGGGGCTTGCTCTGCTAGGTTTTGTTCTTGCTTTGGTTCAGCATTTCCTCACGGTGCACCTTTTCCTCCCATTTGGAATAATAATGCATATTCTGTGCCATTGTGTGTTGGAAGTATGTAATTTGCTTTTTTACAGGGGTTACAGTTAGGAGATTGCCTTGAGTTGTAGAAGAGATTTGGACTGTTAAGTAGTGTTGAGACCATGAAAGTCTATGGATATATTGTGAATTCTAATTGGTCTTAATAAAAACCCGGAGTCAGATATTGGGGTGAAAGCTGAAAGATCAGAGAAGCAGAGCAGCCAGCCACTAGAAAGATTTCTTACCTCTAGGAATCCTCAGACTGAAAGGGGAAAGCTCCTGTCTCCACCTTACCTTATCACTTCCTCTCTCCACCCAGCCATATCCCTTCCTATTTCCTCCTCCCAAGTGCTGGGATTAAAGGTGTGTGCTACCACTGCCTGGCCTCTAGTGGCTAGCTCCTCACTCTGATCTTCAGGCAAGATTTATTTGTTAAAGTAAAGCACAAACAAAATATTACCACAGGAGACTTCTGAGGTTGGACTGAATGCATTTTGTATCATAGTATGGCCTATGGGGGTCAGGGAGTGGAATGTGGTGGTTTGAATGAGAGTGGCCCCCATAGGCCATGTTTGAAGTTTTCGTCCCCAATGGTTGAACTATTTGGTAAGAACTGGGTATGACCTTGTTGATGGAGGTATGTCATGGGGGTGGTCTTTGAGGTTTCAAAAGACTTGTGCCATTTCCAGTGTGCTCTCTGCCCCCTACTTGTGGATCAAGATGTGAATTCTCAGCTGCTGCTCCAGCAACTTGTGGCCTAGCCTTCAAAGCCCCCTGGAACCATAAGCTCGGTTAAACTCTTTTATAAGTTGCTTTGATCATGATGTTTTGTTATAGCAATAGAAAAGTAACTATGATATGCAGCAAGCACTCCTAACCACTGAACCATCTCTCCAGCCCCTATGTTTTTAACATCTTTAGTTATGTGTAGATGTTATGTGTCTGCATGTGTGAATGTGCATGTGTATTGGCGAGTTTTATGTCAACTTGACACAAGCTAGAGTTATCAGAGAGAAAGGAGCCTCAATTGAGAAAATGTCCCATGAGATTGGGCACGTCTGTGGGGCCTTTTCTTTTTTGTTTTTAGAGACAGTGTTTCAGATGTGTAGTCCTGGCTGTCCTGGAACTCGATCTGTAGACCAGGCTGGCCTAGAACTCAGAGATCTGCCTGCCTCTGCCTTCTGGGTGCTGGGATTAAGGGTATGTACCACTACCACCTGGTTGCATTTTCTTAATTAGTGACTCATGGGGGAGAGTCCAGCCCATTGTGGGTGGGGCAACCCGAGGTTCTGAGTCCTATAATAAAGCAGGCTGAGCAAGCCTTGAGTAGCCAGTAAGCAACACCTTCCATGGCCTCTGCATCAGCTCCTGCCTCCAGGTTCCTGTCCTGTGAGTGGCTTCCCTCTGGATTGTGATTCTGGATATGGAAACCAAACAAACCCTTTGCTCCCCTGTTGTGTTGGTCATAGTAACTAACTAGGACAGCATGGATTGCAGGCCAAAGACGTTGGAACTGTAGTTGTCGGCAGTTGGGAGCCACCTGATGTGGGTTCTGGAAACTGTGCTCTCAACCTCTGAGCTCTTTCTCCAGCTACCTCCAATACCGATTGGAACCAGGTCTGAAGTTACCCGTCTAGGTCTGAGGCACGAGGGCAATTATATTGGACACTGTGTTGGTAACTAGATGGTGTACAAGAACCATCTGATGCCGGTTAGACTGCAGCCTGCTGAGCTCACCAAGGACTAGAACAAAGTTCTGCTTAACCGTATTATCTCCCCTGAACAGGACCATGTCTGTGCTGGAGCAAAAGGGCAGTCCAGATAAACTGTGCCAGTTTATCACTTCAGCGCCTGCTGTCACTCAGGAGTCGCTGGGCGGCTCTAGCCAATCAGGGCTTCCAGGCTCACACTGTTCAATGAAAAGCGTCGTGGGGCCGCGGGAGGCGGGCTCTGTCTGGTCGCCATGCTGTGGACTGAGCTCCGCAGCTAAGGGAGGCCCCGTGGGTGTGTGTGCTGCGCTATGCGCGCGGCTGCCGCGATCTGTGAGGAGAGTGCAGGCGAAGTCGGACGCCGTGACATGGTGAGCGCGGGGCTGCTGTCCCTAGACGGGGAGGAGCAGCAGCTATGGTGGCTCCTCGAGACCCCGGGCTGCGGAACTCCGGCCCTCCGCGGCTGCCGCTCTGCAGCTCCGCCCCTCGGCCGCGTCTGCGCAAAGCGCTGGGCGCCGCAGGGAGGCTCCGCCCTCCATGCAGTGACGTTGTCACTCAGAGCCATGGTTTGGGTGCTGACCTCCATGTCCCGCGGGTTCCCTAAGTTATCGTCACATTTAGGTGGAGAGTCCACTCTGAGTTAATTTTGTGGAAGTTGTAAACTCTAATTTTTTGCTGTGGATGCCCAGGTTGTCGGATAATATTTGAGAATACCATAATCTCCCCATTGAGTTTCATTTGCTCTTTCGTTTTTTGCGTTTTGGGTTTTTTTTTTTTTTTTTTTTTTTTTTTTTTTGTACTCTTGTAGATAGATTTGTTTCCAAATATTCGTACACTATCACGATTTTTTTTTGTAAATATAAAGTCAGTGTTATTTTGTATACTGTTTCTTCAGAATTGTGTTGAACATTGAGTTTTTCCCTATATATATAACCTTTAGAATAGATTTCACACAAGGTGTTCTGCTGTTAGACAAGATGTTAGGATTCTTCTTGGGGTGTGTTGAATTTATAGTTTATATTGAAGAGAGCGACATTAAAAAAATAAATCTTTTATGTTTGTGGTTGTTTTTTTGCCTGCATGTATGTCTGTGAACCCTTGGAGGCTAGAAGAGGGCATTAGGTCACCCTGTGACTGGTATTACAGATGATTGTTAGTCATCATGTGGGTCCTGGGAATTGAACCCATGTCCTCAGGGAGAGCAACAGTGCTCTTAACTCCTGAGCTTACTCTCTAGCTCCTGGAAAGCAACATATTGATGTTGTCTTCTACTTACCAAGACCACTGCATTTTTACTTACTTGAAAAAATTTGTTTTTGAGAGTAGATCTCTCTATGGAGTCCTGGCTGGCCTGAAATTCACTCTGTAGACCAGTTGGCCTTGGATTCACAGATCTGCCTGCCTCTGCCTCCCGAGTGCTGGTTTTAAAGACCTGTGCCACCATGCCTGGCTTGACTCTTTTTGAAAAAAAAATTTATCTTTATAGATTTTTGGTAAATTTACTATATGTTTTTCTTTGTGTCTCCTTTGATCTGTAGTACTATACATATAGTGTGAAATTGTTAACCATTCGATTGTTCATTGCTGTTATACTGGAAAATGATGGGCTTCATGTACTAATTGTGTATTCCAAAAATTTGCTGTAGTATCTTATTTGTTCTTTGAGTTTTTGTTGGTCTAGGAATTTTCTGTTTGGAAAGACTTGTATTTTTAAAAATTTTATTTTGAGATTATAATACAGTTACAACATTTCTTCCTTCCCTTGCCTCTCTCCAAACCTTCTCCAATATACCCCTTCCTGCTGTCCTTCAAATTCATGGCCTCTTATTTCATTAATTGTTATTGCATGCATATAGCATATATATTCCTACATATAACCTGTCCAGTCCATATAATGTGTGTATGTTTTCAGGGCTGACCATTTAGCACTGGACAACTGATTAGTGTGCTCTGCCCTGGGGAAGGCCACCTCCTGCTCCTAGCTTGCTTCAGTTACCTTAGTTCTTTGAGTGAGGTAGAAGCTTCATGGGCTTTTCCCGATCCACTTTGGCATGCCCATTGTTGTTGTCTTTGTTCAACTCATGTTTGGGTAGTCATGTTGGTGAGACTTTATGAGTGTAGTTCCTGATTCTAGGAGGAGATACAATCTCTTAACAAACTCCCTCTGCCTGTCTTTCCACCAAAGACTCTTATTTTTATTATTTATTTATTTGTCTTTCGAGATAGGATTTCTCTGTGTCATCCTGACTGTCCTGGAACTCGCTCTGTAAACTAGGCTGGCCTCGAACTCACAGAGATCCGCTTGCCTCTGCTTCCCAAGTGCTGGGTTTAAAGGCATGCGCCACTACCACCTGGCTTCTGTGAACCATTTTTAAGGCATTACAGCCTTCAGAAGTTCACTAGCTTAGCATTTGGCTTTCTGTGCATTTTTCTTTAGGAACTCCAGCTTCATGCAAGACTTGCCTCATTTACCTTAAGTGATGGGGTAGACCCCGTTCTTCGCTTTGCCCTTCTTTTAGCTCCCCTATATGGCCTTACTACTTTACAGATCCACTTTACCTCCATCTCTGAGATCCTTCAGTGCTTTTCCTGCATCCTAGGTATCATGTCCCACTAAGGAGCTCAGCAAAGCCGCTAAAGCTCCACAGCAGCCTCAGGGCTGTTCTGCATTGACTTCTTCTTAACTCTGAAGTGAACTCAGCCCTGTCCCCCTGCTGAGCCAGGCACATGCAGCACTCTCTTATTTTCATTTCTTTCATTTCAGTTTCCCCTGTGTTTTTATCTCTTAACTGTCTGACTCTTCTCATGGGTTCCAAGGTTTGGGTCCCAGAAAGGGCTTTTTAGCTTCAACCTAACTTGCATATTCTTTTCCTAATAACTTGGTTACTATAAGAGCCAGCACATCCCTCCCATTCTCTGTCTTTTCTACTTTCTTTTCCAAATCAGAGGCTAATGCAGATGCTAGCAAACACATGTCCTTTCCAGGTCATAATTCCTCTTCCATGTGTTCACTCCGAGCAGCCTCAGACACACTTCTTATTACACAATGCAGCAGCCAGGCAACTTCCTGGGCAGCTTGCTGGTAATATCTTACATGCTGCTCTGGAGGGTATTTGTTCTAGACTACCAATTCTTCTTAGAGAGTCAGGGAACTCACATGGCAGACCCTACTCATCAAGTGAGTATGCCAATCCCTACCACATGGCAGAAGACCACCAGCCTGGGATTCCCCCACTGACATTCCTTCAGGGGCTCCATCTTGCTCATAGTTCTCACTGCCTATCTTATGACACATGCAACTTCCACCAGAGCAACAAGGCACACTACCATAACACATGGGGACAAACAGCTGTATCAGAGTCCCCTTCACCCTTAGCCTGGTCAGCCTCAGTTGCAGGCTTTGCTACTGAAGTGAATGATAAATGGCGCTGGTTACCACGCGAAAAGGTCATGAGCAATGGCCACAACTACCTAGTAGCAGAGCTTTATTAGGAGGAAGAGGGGATGGGGGAAGACAAAAGAACCAGGCCTGGGAAAGGAGCACATGCAGAGAGAGGGAAAGATGGTGGAGAGAAGAGGGAACAGAATGAGAGAAGAACAGAGAGCGAGGCTGGGGTCTGTGTCTGGCTTTTTAAGGCGCAGGTGGGCTTACAGAGCTATAGCATGCGCAGATTATGTGACCATGTTGCGCATACATAATCGCCAGCGCACACTGATGACGTAAGATGCAAGACCCCTTGTCTAGCTCCTGAACTGTGCATGTGTGGTCGGTCATGCAGCTGGAGCGCAGCAAACCCTAACAGCTCCCATTGCCAAGACCGTGAAATCACCCCTCCCACTCTTGTTGTTCCTGTCATCTCCTTATTCTGCTGTGAGTGTGTTGTGTGAGACTTTACTACAGAGACATGACGCAAAGGTCTGCTCACCAGATAGGGAACCAAGGACAAACCGAAGTAACAATTTCTCCAGTGTCCATCTTGGTGAACCAATGAATCTATTGGGTATACTTCGAAGCGTGTGGCTGAGGGGTCATGTGGAGGAGCAGGGATGACTAAAGGTCTGCAACAGCATGGAAAAGCCCATCCCAGTACAGGTGATGACTTGTGAAAGCTGCATCCCCAAGCACTCTGCGTGATAGGCCACTCCACGGGCAACGGGTCTCCTCTCTGGCAGTTGTTTGCTACTTCTATAAATTTGGGGAGTGTTTCCTCAAAGGGATGAATTTTACCCCCCAAACCTCATAAGCTTCAGCTTCCATACGTGAAGGAATGTTGCAACCTAACAGCCTATAAATGGTTTCATCTTTTTTTTTTTTTTTTAAGATTTAAAAAAGTGTTCTGCCTGCATGCCAGAAGAGGGCGCCAGTTCTCATTACAGATGGTTGGGAGCCACCATGTGGTTGCTGGGAATTGAACTCAGGACCTCTGGAAGAACAGCCAGTGCTTATAACCGCTGAGCCATCTCTCCAGCCTGGTTTCATCTTTTTAAAAATATATTGTATTTTATATTTTTGTTTTTTTGAGGCAAGGTTTCTCTGTGTAGTCCTGGAATTTGCTCTGTAGACCAGGTTGGCCACAAACTCACAGAAATCCACCTACCTCTGCCTCCTGAGTGCTAGAATTAAAGGCGTGGTGGCCTTTATGTGTTTAATCATTGTGGTAGCACCTGTGAAGCAGTGCCCACTAGAGAGGCTCATTAGACTCATTAACCACTATTTTCTTTCTGAAGGCTAATGGGAGTTTAGAAAGTTCCAGAGTATTTACAAAAATCATTCTTGTTGAATGGTTGGTTCTTTATATTCATGTGAATTCTATCAGAATAATAAGTTCCCTCATGCATTGAAAATTTAAACATTGTGAGGAGGAATTTCTAAGGACAGGCAGGCGCTTGCATGCTAGTGTTAACACTGTTCCAGACATCAAGTGGGAAGACTCTGAGACAGGAAGTAGCAATGCACCTTAGAAAGAGGATCAGGACAGAGCAGCAGCACATCCTGTGCCCTGGGCCCAGCAATGAGAGGAGTGCTGCTACAGGGCTGCTTCCTTCCACATCCCTCAGTGCTAGTGTTACAACTTCCGTGTCATGGAAGAGATGTGTGGATCTCTTGTCAATCAAGTATGTGCAATGTTTAGGCCTCAGTGAGCTTTGAGGATGTGGCTGTGCACTTCACCCAGGAAGAGTGGGCTTTGCTGGATCCTTCCCAGAAGAGTCTGTACAGAGATGTGATGCAGGAGACCTGCAGGAACCTGGCTGCAATAGGTAAGGATATCATCTTACTGTCATTTTGTAAATTGGGGAGCAAGTGTCTCTTGGTATCTGTGCTCTTCTGGCATTTGGACTACTGAAAGGGAAGAATGTGGTGAATAAATCAGGCATTGTTACTATGGACACTAAAGTTAAAAACTAATTTTTTTCAGTGATTTCTAATAATTTATCCTAAATTTTCTGGGACTATCTTTAGGAAACAAATGGGAAGAGGAGAATGTTGAAGACTGTTATAAAATTCCTGGAAGAAATCTAAGGTAATTTGTATCAAAAATTGAAGCAAGGGTACTTGAAGGAATTTTAATGTCCCATGAAAATTTAAGAAAACAAAAACAGCTTTAAGTTGTATCATCATTAGAAAAATTATACCTAAATACGGCACCTAAATATGTGCTGAATGTTAGAGCGCTGATCAGTGTTTACAGAGGGTTTTCTCTTGGAAATGCTAGAATGAACTTGTATCAGTGAATGCTACTGTTCTGGTAGTTTCACACAATTCATATATGTCAGAAAGCACACACTTTACCTGATTTCAGGAGCAGTGTATGACATAAGACTAATAAGCACTCAGTAGTAAAGCAACCCTCGCTAACATACTTGTCCTTTTTCAGAAGTTCCATGTTAGAGACCCCTCATGAGAATACAGGAGATGGTCAGGATGAAGAAACCGTGATGTGGATAGCAGATCTCCATACAAGCATGGCAGTTTTTCCCGAACTAACACAATGTGAATCCAATATGTGTGGAAAGATTTCCATGTGTCCTTCATCTTCTCGTAGGCATGCCACATCTCACTCTCATTATAAACCACCTGATCATGAGGAATGTGGAGGCAATCAATATGACTTGAATTCTCTCACCAGGTTTCAAAGGTGTATGGGAGCTCACACTGGGAATGGGCCTTGTGAATGTCAGGTATGTTTAAAAGCTTTCTGTTTTCCAAATTCATTAGGAATACATCAAGAGGCTCACAGTGGAAAAACACCATATCAATACAAGGAATGTGGGAAGGCCTCTCTTTATACACACAGAGGAACACACACTATGGGAAAACTTTATGAATGCAATATATGTGGTAAATCTTTGAGTTCTTCTACTTCCCTTCAAAGACATGAAATAATTCACACTGAAAGACTCTATGAATGTACATATTGTGGTAAAGGCTTTAAATATCCCAAGTATCTTCGATTACATGAAAGAATTCATACTGGAGAGAAACCCTATGAATGTAAACAGTGTGGTAAAGCCTTTAGATTTCCTGGTGCCTTGCCGCTACATGAAAAAATTCATACTGGAGAAAAACCCTATGAATGTAAACAATGTGGTAAAGCCTTTAGATTTCCTGGTTCCTTGCCATTACATGAAAAAATTCATACTGGGGAAAAGCCTTTTGAATGTAAACAGTGTGGTAAAGCCTTTAGGCGTCACTATCATCTTCAGTTACATGAAAGAATTCACACTGGAGAAAAACCCTATGAATGTAAACAATGTGGAAAAGCCTTCAGACGGCACAGTCATCTTCAGAGACATGAACGGACTCATGCTCGAGAGAAACCCTGAGTGTAGATAATGTGCCAAAGCCTTTACACTTCACAGTGATCTTCTGTCACATAGAAGAATTCATACTGGGGAAAACAAATGCTGTGGGTGTAAACAGTGCTGGAAAACCTTTAGGTTTCATGAGTCCTTGCAATTACATGAAATCAATCATATTAGATGCAAACCTATGAAGTAAACACTGTAGTGAAGCCTTTAGACAGTCACTTCAGCTTCATAAAGAAATGTATACTGGAGAAAGCTGTGTGACTGTGGACATTGTGCTGAGGCTCTTAGATGTTACACTTGGTAGTTACAAAAAAAAATCATTCTGGAAGAAAATCCTCTGAATGTAAATAGTATGGCTAAAAGGTCACATATCACAGTGTTCTTCAGACATGGGTTCTTCAGATGTAACCCATATGTGAGAAAAACCCTATAAATGTAAAATATATACATATATAAATCCTTTGTATAGAACAGATCTCTTCAGTTCTTTCATACTCAATAAAACCTTTAAGGATGTGAACAGTGTGGTAAAGGCATCATCTGTCAGTTTCAGAGACAGTGTTGTGTGGAGTGATGTGAAAAATATTTACTTACCTCAGACAGGAACCAAAAAATGATTCTTCCAGAGCCCAATTTGTTCTTGGTTTTTTGTTGTTATTGTTGTTGTTTTTGAGACAGGGTTTCTCAGTATAGCTTTGGAGCGTGTCCTGGATCTTGCTCTGTAGACTAGGCTGGCCTCGAACTCACAGAGATCTGCCTGGCTCTGCTAGAATTAAAGGTGTGTGCCACCACCGCCCGGCCCCAGAGCCTAACTTGATAAGCTAATGATTTTATTAGGGTTACTTATAGGACCACGGAGAACTCTCAAGCAGATACATCACCAAACCACCCACGCCAGCTTGAGTGTGGGTTACAGCCCTGTAAACCTGCACAACTTAAGGGCACTTGGCTGTTCAGAAAGTCTCTTCTCTCGGCAGTTGTTAGCTGTTCCATAATCTTGGGGAGGTGCTCTGAATGTTTTAAGCTTTAGCTTTCTGGGACTTACAAGTTAATTTGTTTACTTCCTGAATCCAATGCTTCCTCTTCCTTCCTAGGAGAATGTTTCAATTCAGAGGATATGGCTGGACAGCAATTCACCCCTTCCTGTGACTCTTAACTTTTTTTTAAATTACTTTTTGAGTCTCTGAGGTGCACCATCATTGTAAAAGGATGTTTGCTCCCAGGATGAACTGAGAGAATAGTAGCAGTGGCCCATGTGCATAATCGTGGACATTTATGAGGCACTTTGTCAGACACGTCACTTCTATCCATTAAAACAGTAGCAGTTGCTTTGCAGCTGGGGCCTGTGAAGTCTGCAGCCATAGGACTTTGCCCTGGCTTATGGTACCAGACATGAGTTTCCTCCTGTAGAGTTTCATTCAATCCAATGGGAAAGCTTGTTGTTGTACCCATAGTAGTCATACCATTTCTGCACTGGCAAGCAGAGCATGCCTAGCTTTTTGGCACCATAACACACAGGTTCTACAGCTGAGCAACACTGTTAGTGAAAATTCATTCTCTGCAACCTGTATATAACACTCGTCACTATGGAAGGTAGTCAGAATGGAGGAAACCTCTTGCTTAGTTCCATGCTGTTTTTTCATGTCCCCTGTGGGAGATCAGCTCCCGCCTTCTCCAGGGTCCCTATGAGGAGGAGAGAGGGATAAGATAGACAGAAAGCGAAGAGGAGAAAGACAGAAACACAGGATAGCTTCAGGGGGGACCTGAGTCAAAACCCAATGGCTCCTTCTGCCTCTTCAAAAGGGCTTTTTATAACCATGCCAAGGGGCAGAGCAAAAGACCTCCCCCTTGCTAGATCAAAGTACACTGCACAGCCAAGTGTAGACCCTACTAAACACCTTGTAACCATGCCCATGGTCAAATTATTCCCTATGCAGCCCTGCTGGGTAAAGCAAGCTCAGATTCTCAGACCCTGAGTAAGTCCTCACTAGGAAACCTCTGTGGGTCTCTATAGTCCTGCTGCCAAAGTGCTTGTTATCTTCAGCATTAGGGTTTTATCCTCTTATTTCTGGCATATAACCAAGAGAAATGGCAATATGGTTTGTGGGGCCTCAGGATCCTCCTTGGCCAACAATTCATATTGAGGTGGCATACCCTTAACAGTGGGATAGTCACTTAACAACCTTATGGGCTTTGTGTCAGTAGGGTGCGTCCTGTACTTAAGCAGCTAAAAAACTGCTGTTTTACTATCCATTTAAAAAAAAATTAGCCAGGCACTGGTGGCACCTTCCTTTAATTCCAGCACTTGGATGGCAGAGACAGGTGGATCTCTGTGAGTTTGAGGCCAGCCTTGTCTACAGAGCGAGTTCCAGGATAGGCTCCAAAGCTATCACAGAGAAACCCTGTCTTGGAAAAAAAAATTTAGCCTTGTCCCAGTATCTTTTTTGCCATAGGCCACAGCAAAAATATGATGTAGAAATTCAGCTGTTTATGATAAGCTAATACTTGGAAGAAGCTAAGGGCCTTCCAGAGGAGTAAGCCAAATCTCAGGGAGTATCTGGTGTTACTCAGCTTTTAATATATCAGTTTCCTGCTATGGATTTCTCTTGCACTCTCATAATTTCCCCAAGAATGGTGTGGATAAATCATTAGATACTTGAATAAAGGCATGTAGGCAAGGTCTACTGCTTCTAGACCCTCAGCTTCTTCTTTAGCATTTGAATTGGATGTCTGCCTTCTGCAATTTCCCTTTAGCAAGCATCCAAGGACAAACATAATAGCTGACCAGACCACCTGTTAGGCACCTGAGACCCCTGAATTAAGGTAAACACCCTTATGGAGACACCAATTGGCTTTAAGCATGAGTTAGGTGCATAGCTTTGCTTCCTATGCAAACCAAGCTCAGATCTCCCTTCCTCTCACAGCCCTAGAGCAATTTCTTAGAACAAAAAGGTTTTCTTCATACCAGGTGCTTTAAGCTATGTGACAAGTCACCTAGCTATCGAGTAGTCCTCCCCCTGCCCTGCCAGAAACAGTGGCATAGAAAAATAAGGCAGTTTTATTTTAGTGACTTATAGCTTCTTTCACCTGACCACCTGTAAGACTGTCGGTGAGCGCATTTATGATAGACTCACAATGTTTCACCTGATCACCTGTAAGACTGTAGGTGAGCGCATTTATGATAGACTCGCAATGTTTCACCTGACCACTGACAAGAATATATTTTGAGCGCATAAATTCCTTTTCTGATTTGTTCTAGCCCTTATCTGACTCTACCTCTATTTACTCCCCTTTTGGGTTGCAGATGAAGTTGACCATGGAGGCTCTGGTGGGGACCTTGAAAGTCTTGTATTGAATTGTAAACATAAGAGTGTTGCTGTATTGGGGAGATATAGACTGGTTCCCCGAGAGGACTGGGCAGAATTATGGTGGCAGAGGAATAAAGTGGATGGACAAAGAGCTCCGTGTATTTAGATTCTTTTCCCATAAATCACTCACACTGTTAGTAGTGTCTCTTCTGTGCCCCTGGGAAGGAGATTATTAGGACTGGATGGTAATAATTTCCATTACTTTAAGGTAGGTGAAAGTACCATTGCCTCTGGTTATCTTTAGTCCAGGTCTGTGCATCAGTGTTTGTGGAATTACTACCTCGTTCACTGTCAATTTTCTGTGGGCTCTTATCCCATTCCCTTATGGGATAAGTTGGCTTATGTATGTGTCCTCTCAGAGCCTCTATCTGCCAAGGCCTCTATCAGGAACAGGCCTCACATGTGAGTATCATCACTTTCTGCTTTGTGATCTGGATATAGAGATGTCTGAAGAAAAAGCAATGTTTCTGCTTGCATGTGTTTGCTTATAGCTGCTGAATGTGCCTATTGTGGCAGCTGCTGTTGTGACTGTTCCAGACTCTGGTGACATCAGACTGCAGCCCCTTTGGTCTTTCAGTTTACTGAACAGCAACAATTCTAGGAATTTTCCAGGCCTTCACTGCCAAAATGGGATTAATGGGCATCATCAAGCTTCATGGGTTCTCAGGCGTTCCATTGTGCATATGGCCTTTGTTAGGCTACTCAGCCCCACTGTGTTAGTTCACACACTGAATTTTCTTTCACTACATACATACATTCTGTCCTGTCTCTGGTATAGTTTGTAGTAAAGAAGGGTTGAGAAAAAAACCCAGTTGGTGGCTGGCCATGTAACTTTTGGGGCACGTTTCTCTGTATCATGCACAAACTCCTGGGTTTAATTCCATGGACTACATAATACTGGACAGGAGAAATAAATGCCTTCAAGAAAAACACTTTTCTAAGTGCCTGCTATGAGGGGATTTAAATCTCAAACAAATGGGTTATTTGTGAAAATACAGGTGTCTTCAGAATATTTAGCATATTTTCCTGTTTCACATAGGGATTTTTTCATTGAGTCTTACAATTCTGTTAAGAATGACACTTTCTACATTTTAGGTACAGAAAGGAAAGATAGATTTAATCTCAATGTGCCAATGATGATAAAGCAGGCAAAAACAAAATACCTGGAAGGTCACAGAACAGACTGATAACACTGGAGAAGAATAAAGGACCTTGACCTATTATATTTTTATGTGTATGAGTGTGTGTTCCTATGTGCACCATATGTGTGCAGTTGCCCATTGTTATGGCTATTCTTGATTGTCAGCTTCCTACACCTGGAATTAACTAAACCTCCAAAATGACTCTGCATACCTGTGAGGGATTTTTTGCTTACCTGAATTATTTTTAGTGGGAAGATCCACTCTAATCCAGATCTTGAGGTGGGAAGACACATCTTTAATCCAGATCTCTAATCTGGCCCATGCCTTCTGCTGGAAGCCTACACAAGGACATGGAAGAAGGAAACTTTTCGCTTTTTGCCTGCTTACCCCCACTTCCCTAGAAAGTTCACTCCTTTACTGGCATTAGAGCCCATTTCTTCCGGATTCCAGCATATACTGAAAAGTGTTGTGGGGTATTCACCAGAGAAGAGTACTCAGAGATGACTTTAAGACAATAGAAAGTCTTTGTTAGCTGGCAGGTGACTACACTGCGTGTTCAGAACCCCAGTGTAGCCTTACCAGGATGAGCTTTTGATTGCAGAAGCCATGTTGTAGGTTGACAGACTTCAGCTGACAAGAACAATTAGCCAGAAGCAGAACTACAGAAACAAGGTTAGTCATTTAGAGACTTCCCAGAACTATGGGCTTTGATGGATTAGGTCTTTGTTTTAGTTTTGGCAGGTGATGCAGTGTATGTGCTGAGTTTTACAGTCTGAATGGTACTTCCATCATGGAGTCATTTGTGCTAAGGTCTTAGGGCCTACTAAGGTCTGGGCCCAGCTGAGACATCCGGCCTCATAGATTGAATTGGATTCTTGGACCTTCCTTACATAGGCAGCCATTGTGGATTAGCTGGATTAGCCTGTTAGTCATTCTAATTGTAGAGGGCCCCAAAACAACTTGACCACACAGCTGCCATGACAGACTTAGAGGCCCAGACATAGCATCTGTGACAGGCTTACTGGCAGGCAACACCCCAACACAGGAAAAACCATAAGCTGATCCCACCAGGGTGGGCCAACATCTAAGGGGAAGTACCTGACATCCCAAATATTCCAACCATTAGATAAGGTGGCTAGATGTCCCTGAGTCTAGCACACATCTACTTTTGTTTTACAGGTACCCCTAGACAAATGTCAGCCAATCAGGGTCCTGAACCTTGGAAATCCCCTTACCCCAACCTCTGCTATGATAAAAACTCTACCCTGCCTGAGCTCAGGGCTCTCTGCTCTCTCCACTGCATAGGACAGAAAGAGAGACCAAGTCCTGGAGCTTGAAAATAGAGGCTCTTTGCTTTTACATATGAGATTCAGTCCCATGGTGGTCTTTTGCGGGACCCCGAGATCTGAGCACTAATCCCATATATATATATGAACTAATACACTATGTGTGAATGCTTTGTGTATGTGTATGTGACCATATCTGGTGCCTGTGAAGGTCAGAGGAGGGAGAAGGATTCCCCTGGAACTAGAGTTATGGATGGTTGTAAGCCACCATGTGGGTGCTGGGAACCAAACCTTGGTCCCTTTGAAAGAGTAGCCACTCAGTGGTTCTTAACCAGTGAACCATTTCTCTAGCTCTCTGCTTCTCAACTTTTAATATAATTTATATTTGATGTTTCCTTATTGTTTTGGCTTGATCACCTGCCTTATCTCAAGAGTGTGGTACTGACACTGTCATTGGGTTGCAGTCAGTTTGTACCTCTACAGCCCATTAGCTTTTGTTTTATAAAATGAAACGGCTGGTGTTTGCTGTGCATGTGTTGAATCCTAGTTTTCTCCTGAGACATTGTTCTCTTTAATCACCACAATATGGCTGTCTTTATCTCTTCTAATGAATTAGAAGCCTTTCATCAGACATCAGCTACTGCTTTCCCACATGTGTATCGGTGCCCTTGAAGCCCTTCCTCTCTCTGCCGAGGATTGTGGTATTGTATTCCCCAAAATATTGTGCACCCTAATAAATTTATCTGGGGTCAGAGACAGAACAGCCACTAGATACAAAGGCTAGAAAATGTTAGCACACGCCTTTAATCCTAGCACTCCAGAGACAGAAATCCCTCTGGATCTCTGTGAGTTCAAGGCCACATTGGAAACAGCCAGGCATGGTGACACACACCTTTAATCCCAGAAAGCAAGCCTTTAATCCCAGGGAGTGGTGGTAGAAGGCAGAAAGATATATAGGCGTGAGGACCAGAAACTAGAAGCATTTGGCTGGTTAAGCTTTCAGGCTCTAGCAGCACAGTTCATCTGAGAGCCATTCGGATATGAGGACACAGAGGCTTCCATTCTGAGGAAACAAGACCAGCTGAGAAGTTGGCCAGGTGAGGTTAGCTGTGGCTTGTTCTGGTTCTCTGATCTTCCAGTACACCCCAATAACTGGCCTCAGGTTTGATTTTATTAATAAGAACTTTTAAGATTTCTGCGACAGAGGATTTCCTTTATCAGTTATGCACATCGTTTCAGAGATTTTTTTTTTTTTGAGACAGGATCTCACCATGTGGTCCTGACTGTCTGGAAATCATCGCTATGTAGATTGTAGAACTCAGAAATATGTCTGCCCTTGCCACCTGAATGCTGATATTAAATGTGTGTGACACTAAGCCTGGCATGTTTGGTTACTTCTTAACATTTGCTTTTTTTTTTTTTTTTTTTTTTTGCTATTGTTGCCTGCAGCTTTCTTTCCACCATTTGGTTTCTCTGTTAAGTGAAGAGTTATAGAATAATAAATTTCCAGTCTTCCACACATAAGATTATATTGTTCTAGGCCAGCCAAGGCTATTTAGTGAGGTCCTGTTTAAAAAAGAACAAAACCAAATTTAAAGTGCGCGCGCGTGCGCGCACACACACACACACACACACACACACACACACACACACACACACAGCCCACCTGCAGAACACAGGTTTGTGTGGTGTACAGAGAGAGAGCACTGTGCTCCCTGGTGAATCGTTTTATTTCATGTGAGTGTTTTGCCTACATGTATATATGTGCACCATGTACATGCCCGGTCTCCAGGGAGGTCGAAGAGGATTTCAGATCCCCTAGGGCTAGAGTTCCAGACTGTGAGCCACTATGTGGGTACTGGGAATTGAACCCAGATGCTATGGAAGAGCAGTCAGTGCTTTTAACCATGGACCTATCTTTCCAGCCACCTCCTCCACATACATTTTACTCATACACATAGGTTGTGGAGCTTAATTCCATTTCTCCTTCTCAGAATGGACTAGGCAGCATACATTTAGCTGATTGAGTCATTTTAAATGGCAGCAAGAACCTAACTGAGACATGAATGAAACCTTTGAAATTCCCATGGAGAAAAAGCCCTCAGAGCCCCCCAGGCCTTGTTATTAGTGTTGTACAGTGTAGAAGGCAGGAGGAGGGAGTTAGATCAGCCACGTCCACCAGCTAGGCTATGTGTGACCCTCAGTGATGAGGTTGAGGCGCCCGTGCATGTGTGTGTGTGTGTGTGTGGTGTGTGTGTGTGTGTGTTAGTTAACGCCTGCTGGTAGGCATTAGCCTATTGGGTGCCAGAGATGAAAAAGCCTCAGCAACGAGGGGGTTTCTTTTGGGCAAGAGTCTGGCGTAAACTGACTGATCCAAAGTGGAAGCACTCTGAGTCAGTTTGATTTGATCCAGGCCCGCTCTCCTTAGATATGTACATATTTAAGAATGAGGGCTGGAGAGATGGCTCAGAGGTTAAGAGCACTGGCTGCTCCTCCAGAGGTCCTGAGTTCAATTCCCAGCAACCACATGGTGGCTCACAGCCATTTGTACTGAGATCTGGTGCCCTCTTCTGGCCTGCAGGGATACATGCAGACAGAACACTGTATACATAATAAATAAATTAAAAAAAAAAAAAAAGAACTATTTCCCGTCTTCCTCACTA